TGTTCTACATACTGCAGTAGGATGCCAACTTATTGAAACAATTTTGAAAACCTGCTTCAGTTTCTGACACAAAGACAAGGTCATCATAACAGGCTACTAATTGATTTGTTGTTTAACTTAACTGCTTTACATGACTTATCTAGTTGTCCTGGTAAATCATTTAGGAATAAATTAAAGAGTATTGGGCTGATGTTGCAACCTTGTCTTACACCGTACCTCTGAGCGATTTGAAATCTTTAGTCATTCTATTTTATATTGTATCTCACATCTTCATACATACTTTTAATTACCTGAAATACGTTTCCAGTAATAATATTCTTTAACAATTTATAATTCAGTCCTTTACGCCGTATGCTACCAAAGGCTTTTTTGAAATCCCTATTATTTGTTGTAATTTTGTTATTAATGTATTTATCAACAATTGTTTTAAGTACAAACATGTTGTCTGTAGTTCTATAACCAGGTCTGAATCCAGCCTGACATTGGTTTAGAATGTCATTTCCCTTAAAAATTAATATGCAATTATTTAATACAGATGTAAGCAGTTTTGCCAGACAACGTGAAAGCGCAATTCCTCTATAATTACTGGGATTGTTTTTATCATCAGATTAATTACACTAATACGCCATTGATGCTATTAAACAGTTTTCTAATTGGCTTAATTTATACAGACTGTCCATAAATAATCATTTCATTTGTGATTTTATCCTTGCCTGGTGATTTTCTCTTTTTTAATTACTTTAATTATTTCTACCTTTGTTCATATTAATATTGACCTATCCGTTTTCCATATTATGAATATCTCTATCTAATGAAGAGTCATTTTCACATTTCTTGTTCACATTTGAGAAATGTCTAATCCATAACTTTACAGTAACATTATCACTATTGCTATTATTTGTTGGTAATGTGTTGGTTGGTAATTGTTTTCCAAAATTGTGAGGGATCTGTTTTTTCTACCTGATCCAACACAGTTATCTTTCAGGCATTGGATCTAACTCTGTATCAGTGCTACCATTTCCAAACTCTTGTTGTATAGAAATTGAAAATGATAGTGGATAATGGTCCGATAACAGGGATATTGCATGCACTTTTAGAAACTGAACTTTGTTAAATAAATAGCCTTGTTGTTACAATTAGATGGTCAACTAAACTTGAACCATTATAGGAGTGACATGTAAAATTACCATACAAGTCATCAATTTGTCACCCATTAATTATTTTCATATCTGTTGAACAAAGGTCAATTAATTAATGTCCATAGGAATTTATATTTGTATCTTTGTTCAGTCTGTTCCTTATATTATCAATTTCATAATAATTTGGATGTCGTATATGCTCTACAGTGTCATTCACAATACAATTCTCCAGTTTTCCTGTTCGTGCATTCAAATCTCCTATAAGAATGACATCTCCATTAATTGAATGATTTGTTATTTCTTTCTCCAATTCTTCAATGATATTATTTTTTTTTGAAAATAGACTAGTTTTCTGGTGGTAAATATGCCACACAGATATAAATATCATTTTCCAAATTGAAGAACTTGTTATCTAACTTAACCCTTATAACATCATTAATGGTGGTATGCAGCTTTGAAATTCCACTTTTAAACCTATGTTTGAAAAACAGTGCAACACCACCAGAATTTTGCCTTGCTGCTTCACTTCTATTTCTATCACTACGAACATAACTAAATAGTGTTCATAAAATTACTATGGTGAAACTTTTGTTCAATACCTTGAATGTTCCATGTCATAAATGACAAGACATTGTTCGGATTTTTTCTCTTATTATTTCTTGTTATGCACATTAAATTTCTGATTTAGCTCTACCTGTAACGTTACATTTGCTGCCTTTTCCCTAAAATAACTCTAAATATAACTTCTCAGCAAGTCAATTAATTTATGCGCTAACTGTCCATCATAGTTTTTACAGTGCCATATCTAGGTTTTTCGTACATGGGCTGCTGTTAAATTCTCTCTGGCCGTCTGTATTGTTGGTCATTATGTTAATTTCCCCTCTTGTCATCTCTGTAAGAACGTTGACTGCGTGTGTGTCGGTAGATGGGTCTGCTCCGTGCATCATTCTCTCTCATCAATCCAGGTTGTCCATTATTCATTGACTTCTTATTATATCTGCTACTAGAGATTTGACTCCATCAACATTAATATGTATCCCGTATGATCACTTCTAACGAGGTCGGTGATGATTTCAGAACGCATTGGTGCGCTTGTATCTATTTGCAAAGCACCGTGTGCCTCGAGAACCATCAGTGTTGGCACGAATGTTCTGTATATTACTGTACTCAGCAGGGAAAGGTATGTCAGTCAACTGTTGCCCCTGAAGAAACCTACGCATGAGCTG